TCTCAGAAACTCTGTTTGAAAAATCTTATTATGTAATACACAAATGGAGAAAATAGATAACTATGAGGAATAGTACCCTAGAAGTCTAAAAGTTGTTGGAAGTTGTCGCTTTTCTTTTCTTTATGGTTTTAATAATATATTCTAATTTACCTTGCTTTGAACTTTGGGCAGTCACTATGTATTGTTTTGCTTCTTGCTTGTGGAAATGTCTTACAGTATGAACATACTCTGGACAAATGACTTTTACTTTACCTTACAACTAAGAAGTTGACCTCATCTTAACTTGTTTATAGTGTAAACAAACCTAATAAATAGGTCTTGTGCTCCTTTTGTAACTTAAAGCATATAGCTTTAATTCTTAATGACCCTTCCTTCCCCTTGACCAAAAGAAGGTATAAATGTGTGTGGATGTTTTGCATATTCAAGAAAGAGCTGCAAACAGCAAGAGATATGAGGGATATTCAAGAGATTTGAATGATGTTACTTGGAAACAAGGAAGCTATGAATATTATCCAATATGTGTTACAAACCATAGGTGGAATTATATTGATGACATCTATTTGTGGTTCTGTGCATGCTAGTCTAGGTTTAGGGATCAGAAGGGGTAACATTCTTCTCTGATAAAGGTCCTACTTTTACTTCCCCATTTCATGCTGGATATACTATTTCAATAAAGGAAATAGTGAGACCTTGGTTCAGGAGCACAGTTCTGAGAGAAATCTAAAGGAACAGGATCTCAGCAGTTCGGGTCTCCTTTTAAAATGGATGCTAAGAGTCAGGCTGTTTTTATTCAGCATAACTATAATATGACATTTCATAGTAACTGCCATACTTATGTTTTTATGTTTTCTGTATTTAGCCATCTATGTAGCTACAGTTTCTTCATTATCATTTTTTTATTCCATTGTATGACTATCTCACAGTGTATTTGTCTAGTTGATGACTGACATTGGCCTTTTAAAATTTTTGACTAATGCAATATATGAGAGTTTGTTTCTCCTTTCCTCATTAACATTTTGTCTTATTGTAACAGTGATTCTTAGGGGGTGGAATGGTATTTCATTATGGTTTTAATTTGTTTTTGTCTGATGATTAAGGATGCTGAACATTTTCATGGACTAATTTTGGCTGTATATTTGTCCTTGGTGACTGGTTTGTTCAGATCCTTCCCCCATATTTTTGTAACATTGTTATTTTTCTCTCATTACTGAGTTGTAAAAGTTCTTGTATATTCTAGATACAAGTCTTATGTCTCTGATTTGCAAGTATCATAAATGTATATGTGATTTTCACTATATAACTTTTGATTATCCTAATGTCTTTTAAAGACAGAGGTTCTTAGTCTTTAAATACAACTCTTTCTTTTATACCTCCAGCTATTGGTGCCATACCTGAGAATATTTTACCCAATTCTGGGTCACAAAGATTTTTGTTATGTTTTTAGGGGAGTGTATAAATTTAGGTTTTACATTTAGTTTCCAGGATTCATTTTGATTTACTTTTGTATATGGCTCAAACTAAGACCGTAAGTTCCTTTGGGGGGGGGTTGTATATGAATATTTAGTTGTACTGAAATGGCTTGTCGAAATGAGTATTTTTTTTTTCTCCAACACAATGCCTGTGCTGGCTAGCTTCAGTTATCATGACACACCTGGGAAGAAGGAGCCTCCACTGGGGAATTTCCTCTGTCAGATTGGCCTGTGAGCATGTCTCTAAGGCATTTTCTTGATAATTGAGTGATGGGGGTGCAGCTTACTGTGAGGGGTGGTGGCAGCCTTGGGCAGATGGTCTTGCATTGTATAAGAAAGCACAGACCAGGGGAGCAAGCCATGAGTTCTGTTTGAGCTCCAGGTTCCTGCCTTGAGTTCCTGTCTTGGCTTCCCTTAAGGATGGACTAGAATTTGTAAGCTGAAATAAACTCTTTCGTCCCCCAAGTTAGTTTTGCTTGGTGTTTTATTGCACAAACAGAAACCAAACCAGGACAATGCCTTTATACTTGTGTTAAAAAGCAATTGATCATATGTCTGGTTAAACTGATCTATCTTGGACCAGTGAGATAGCTCAGTGAGTTAAAAGCGCTTGCCACAAAGTCTGAGGACCTGAGTTCAATCCTGGGGACCCACATGGTGAAAGGACAGAGGTGACTCCTGCATGTTGTCCTCCTACCACCACACATATACCATGGCAAACATGTGTATGGCACATCCACACACACAATAAAATTATTTGGAAAAAACATTTTTTTGACAGCATTTCCCTGGTCCCAGCCTACCTGGAAGTTACTATGTGGACCAGGCTGGCCTCAATCTCATAGAGATCCACTTGCCTCTCCCTCCTGAGGGCTGGGATTAAAGGCATGTGCCACCATGCCTAGTGTTGAAAATTTTTTTTTAAATCATTCAGTCTGTTATGGTGCCAGTATTACACTGTCCTGATCACTATCACTTTATTTTCTTGGATTTCTATCAGCAGTGATTTGTAGGTCATATACAGCCTATCAGTATAAGATCATATCATGGTTATATATGATTAACATAGATTACTTAACACCCATAAGTATTTCATATTTTTGATGCTATTGTAAGTTGTTGCTACGTTTAGCTTTCATTTTCCCATTATATAGTGCTTATATATAAAAACGCAATTTCCTAAAGTCACTTATTATGGTTGCAGAATTTAGGAGTCCTCAAGACATCTTTGTATTTGATAATCCTCTAGAATTCATAGAACCCAGAGCTGTTCTATTCAGGGTTACAACTTTGTAAAAAAAAAAAAATCAGCCAAGAAAAGAAGCACATATAGCGCAGTGGCTAGCAGAAATACATGTGTGGAGTTTCCATTTGTCTTTTGTGAGGTCTTTCTATTTAAGCGGGTTTCTTGTGTGTAGTATGTGAATGGATTTTGCTTTTTCTACAACACCCAGCTTTGCATGGTGGCTCAGTTTGCTTTCTGCTCCTGTGATTAAACACTGACCAAGACCAATTTGAGTAGCAAAGTGTTTATTTGGCTTACAGGTTACAGTCTATCATCCATGGAAACTAAGGCAGGAACTTGGATGTAGGAACTGAAGCAGAGATCATGGAGGAATGCTACTTACTAGATTGCTTTCCCTGGCTTGCTCAGCTACCTTTCTCTTTTTTTAATATTTTATTTATTATTTTTATTTTATGTGTAGGAGTGTATTGCCTGCATGTATGTGAGTGCACCTGTGTCGTGCATTGCCTCCGAGGTCAGAAGAGGGCTTTGGATTGTCCTGGAACTGGAGTTAAGGATGGTTCGTAGTCACCATGTGGGTGCTGGGAATCAAACCCGGGTCCTCTGCAAGAATAGTCAGTGCTCTTAACCGCTGAACCAGCTCTCCAGCCCCATCAGCTACCTTTCTTATAAAGTCCAGGCCCACCTGCCTAGGCATGGCACTGCCCACAATGGACTGGGCCCTCCCATCTTAACTAGCAATTAAGAAAATGCCTTACAGACATGACCATTGGCCAGTATGATCTGAGAAATTCTTCAATTGAGATAACTGTAGGTAACTCCAGTTTGTGTTGACACAAACTAACCAGCACAATTAACCCCTTGTCAACTTGACACAAAAACACATCACTATAATCCATACCCTTTTCCTTTCTTACTCCCAAGATCTCATGTTAATAACACAATAAAAAACACAGTCCAACTTTAAAAAAAATTCTTAGGCCCCATTCACCTTTTATTTATTTTTTTAAACAACAGCCATTTATTATTTTTATACAGTTCTGGAGACAGTATCAAGGTGCCAAAAGAATTGGTTTCTTTGGAGACTTCTCTCCTTGACTTGCATCTGGCTTTCCTCTGTTGTATTTTATTCCTGTTCACATAGTCATATCTCTGTGTATGTGCCCCGCCCCACTGCTTCTCCCTATTTCCTAATAGGTGGAAGAAATATGTATTAGGTTCTGTTTAATGGCTATAAAGATTCTTTTTTTTAAAAAAAAAGTGAAACTTTATTTTTTAAAATCTTAATAAGCATCCACTAAGCTGTAGACACTGTTCCAGATGGCAAATTGATTGTGGTGGGTGAGACAAGGCCTTCCATTTAATAGTCCAGTGACAGTCCAACTTTTAAAAGTTCCACAGTCTTTTAAAAATTCTATCACTTCAAAATCTAATATTTCTTTAAAAACCCAGTCTCTTTAACTCTGGGCTCTGGTAAAATAAAAAACAAATTACTTATTTCAAAACAGAAGACCCCGACACACAAGCAAAACTGAAGTTCATCAGTGTTAGCTTAGTGCCCGCATCTGGGACACTATCTTCTGGGCTTCAGAAAGCTTGGGCATCTCCACTTCTCCAGCTCTGCAATCTTCAGTGCACACAGCTTGTCTTGTAGGCTCAGGTAGGCTCTACTCCACCTGCCGCTGTGTTTGGTCATCCTAAGGTCCTGGCCTCTCCAATATCCTGGGGTCTCCATTGCAACTGAGACTGTAACAATGGCCACTCCTGGCTTCTCATGGTATCAGGCCTCAGCTTCTGTCCGTGACTCTTTCAGTTCTGCAGTTTTTGTGCCATCTAAATCAGCACCATGTGGGAGGGTCTCACACACTACCAAGTTCAGCTTCCAGTTTGAGATACAGCCTTGGCATCCTCTAAATAGCAGCTTCTGTGTGCTGACCCCAAGAAAACACTGCCAGAAGATTTCACCTCAATGATGCTGGTCTCTTCTCAATCACAGCTGATTTTTCAGCCCAAGCTAACCAGCACTGATTGTCCCAGTAAAGCCAATTGCACTTCAGTGATGCTGGTTTCTTGTTAATCACAGGTGATTCTTCAGCTTCAGCTGAACAACCCTGGTGGAGTCTTTAAGAACTCTCAAAATTCCTCTTGAATATTCACAAGCCAGCCTCTACTGCCTGCATTTATCTAAGCATTCTTATTTTCCAGGTTCTCACAGAACAGTTATCAGTCTCTGAGCACTTAAAGCGTTTTCCAGTGCAAAGCTCCAAAATCCTCCACAATCCTACCCAAAACAACATGGCCGGGTTCATGACAGTAATCATGTTTCTGGCACTGATTTCTGTTTTAGTTTGCTTCCCTCTTGCTGTGATAAAACATTGACTAAAAGCAACTTTGGAGAGGAAAGGGCTTATTTGCCTTAAAGATATCCTTGAGGGAAGCCAAGGCAGGAACTTGAGGCAGGACCCTGGAGGCAGGAACTGAAGCAGACACCATGGAGGATTACTGGCTTGCTTGCTCTGGTTTGCTCAGCTCCCTTTACAGCCCAGGCCCATCTGCCCAGAGATGATACCACCTACAGTGGGTCATGTCAACTAGCAATTAAGAAAATGTCTCACAGACATGCCCATAGGCTGATCTGTTGGAAGCAGTTCCTCCATTGAGGCTCCCTTTAACTACATCACTCTAGTTGACAAAAACTAATCAGCACAGATTCAGAAGATTTCAACTCAGGTTCTCAGACTTGTGCAGCAAAGACTATCCACTGAGCTATCTCCCCAGCCTGGATCTTTTTTTGTTTTTTAATGTAAAGTATGTGTATTTATTTCAGGCTGTAGATCCTACTCGATTCCAAAAAACAAAATCTGTTTTCTCTCCTCAAAGTAGCTGAGACCCCCATTTTCAGATGATTTCACAGAAGCACATTTTATCAGGCTTAGCAAGAAAGCAAGTCCCTGATGCCTACCACATCCCAGCGTTAGGAAAGAAACAAAATTCACCACCACAGGATTGAACAAATACCCAGGCACTAATGTAAAGGAGCAGGCGAACCTTGGCAAATTGCTTTCTTTTTCTCCCGTTTTCTCTTGCTACCCAATATATGCAGCTCTTGTGAACTCCTAGTGGGTTCCCAGCTTTAAACACTTTAAATGTTTTAGACTAATTCTTCTGGAATCTGAAAACAGACAAATGTGTATTGCTGTGAACGTTCTATAGAGATGAAGTGAGGCAATACAGTCATGAAGGAGTAAAGGATGCAAGAATTCAGACATCTGTAGAGGGTTACTTTCCAGTAAAGGTCCATGAAAAGGAGCAAACTGAGATCCATAAGGGGAAGCAGTGGGAGCTGTGTGTGTTCTCCCCACCCTGTGAATAAATTTTTCCTAAGGAGCCACTGCTAGGTCCCCACTTGCTCCCCTCCCTTTGGGCTGAGACAGCAGGGCAGTACAAGGGCACGGAAGGAACATGTCACAACTCCTCATTGCCAGACTCATATTAAACAGTTGGCATCTTCCTCCTCCTCTTCCTCATCATCATTGTGTTGTCATACAGGATCACCATAAAGCAAATTTGAGCTATTGTCATTGGAAGGCACTTTAATTTTGATACAGCACCCCGCCAGGGTTGTGGGGACCTTCACTCCATTTTTTTTTTGCTTCAGCCTCAGTGGCTGAAACATTTCCTAATGATTTCAGCATATTCTTCGTCTTTTCCTTTACTGTCCCCCCATTTCCTGAACATAACTGAAGCATCCACATTGGCTGGGGAAAAGACGTTGGGCTTATTAAGCAGTGAGATTACACTTAACAGAATAGTCCTCACATCTTGAGTAGGAGTCCACCTTTCAGAGTGCAGTTCTCCACAATGTGGGTCTTCTATAGGCTGATGAAGAATTGAAATGCATACATCTCCATTCTCATATATGTTGGGATGCCACATTTTGATCAAGAATCTGAAGGTAGGTGGTGAATATGGGTAGTCAATAGGAAATTTAATATGTGTCTTGAAGTAGCTGCCTTTATAGAGGGTGTTGAGAGGGTCCAAAGATGGCCACGTCCCAGTAGTAGAGTTCATACTCATCCACCAGGGTGATCTGGAAGTCCCCCTGCAGGGATTTCAACTCGAGCATCAAGGCCTTTTATGAGCTGCTCATCTGTTGCTGGGCAGCTAGGCCAGGCTGGGGCCCCAGTCCTTGAGCACTGGTTGGGCTGGATCAGGCCCCTCCCCTCCACTCGCCCTTAGGTGGGGCTGTGCCCCTGTCTCCACACGCCCAACAGGGCCAGACCCGGCTCCAGATGGCCCTGGCAAGGCCTGGGATCCCCCTGTCCCCCTGACACTCCCTGGATCTTTTTTTTTTTTTTTAAGATTTATTTTGTGACTGTTTTGCTTGCATGTATGTATGTGCATCATGTGTGTGTGCTTGGGACCCACAGAGGCCAGAAGAAGGTGTCAGATCCCCAGGAACTGGAATTACAGACAGTTGTGAGCCATCATGTGGGTGTTGGGAAATAACTCCAGGTACTCTACAAGAGAAGCAAGTGCTGTTAACCTCTGAGCTGTCTCTCCAACCCCCCGATCTTGCTTTTTAAAATACAATTTGAAATCTCTTCCTTTTGAATGGGATGTTTCGATTATTTGCATTGAAACTTGTATTTTTAATTTTTTTATTGAGAAGGTTGGTATGGTGGTTCATGCGTATATTCTTAGCACTTGGAAGGCTAAGCTAGGAAGATTCTAGAGCAGCCAGGAAATCAGAAAGCAAAAAATTGAAAATACACTTGAGAGTTTTCAGTTACTTTTTCAAGCCCACAAATTAGTAAATGGCAGCATCAAGGCTTGGTTTTTTCTTTTTAATGTCATGCTCCCTTTTGGGTTGGCCTTCTGCTTTTGTACGTGGTAGGAAGGAACTGGATCATCTCAAGGTAAGTAAGATATGAACATTATTGGGAATGCAGGTTGTGTGCATCTGGCAGCCTGTTACCTTGTCTGATATTGGTTTGGTTTTTGTAGGTGCACTGGTTTCATTTTCCAGAAGGTTGGAAAGTTGGCTGCAACAGCTGTAGGAGGTGGATTTTTCCTCCTTCAGGTTTGTATGTGATATTTCTGGGATGTTTGGAAATTCTACTTGCCCATTAATGTATTTGCAGTCCTGGCTGTATTACACTAATATAGTTTATGCATTTGTATACTATTTAAATGTTACTAGTCACTTGAGTGAAATATTATCAAATACTAGTTACATTTTACTTTCACATTTATAAGGCAGGGACAGAAATACCACATGTTCTTTCTTTTTAAAAATGTTTTATTTATAGCTGGGCATGGGGGCACATGCCTTTAGTCGCAGCAGTTGGGAGGCAGAGACAGGCAGAGCTCTCTGTGTTCGAGGCCAGCCTCGCCTACATAGCGAGTTCCAGGCCAGCTGGGGCTACAGGGAGACCCTGTCTCAAAAAAAATGCTTTATTTATATTTTGATTTTATGTATATGAATTTATTGCCTGCATGTGTGTAAGTGCACCCATGTCATGCAGTGCTGGCAGAGGTCAGAAGAGGGCATCAGATCCTCTGGAATTGGAGTTATACACTGTTGTTAGCCACCATGTGGGTGCTGGGAATTGAACCTGGGTCCTCTGCAAAAAGCAGCCAATGCTCTTAATCGCTGAACCATCCTGCCAGCCCCCACATATTCTTCCTTTTTCACTGCTGAAATATTAAGCAAATATGATTTCAAAATATGATACATGCACTTGATATGATTTATTCTCATATGCCAATGTATCCAGCAGTTTCTTTCAGATCATTGAGCTGTCTCTTTGGCCTATAGTTAATGTTTAAGAACCAGTGGATGTGGGTTCTTTAAGGCTACAGGAAAAAAAAGGAACAGCTCCCCACATATTCTTCCTTTTTCACTGCTGAAATATTAAGCAAATATGATTTCAAAATATGATACATGCACTTGATATGATTTATTCTCATATGCCAATGTATCCAGCAGTTTCTTTCAGATCATTGAGCTGTCTCTTTGGCCTATAGTTAATGTTTAAGAACCAGTGGATGTGGGTTCTTTAAGGCTACAGGAAAAAAAAGGAACAGCT